TGCGATGCTGAGGGGCTGGGTCCTGCCTGGTTCTCACTGCTGGGGATGCAGTAAGAGAAGGAGGTGGTGGGGCTGGGTGGGTGCCATGGCCCAGGGCAGGGTGCATGACTCGGGGCGCTGTGCCTGGTGACGCAGGCAGCTCCGTGGCCGGTGTTGCCTTTCCTGTTGTTGCCTCACCTGCGGGCACGGGGCCAGGGCTGCGAAACCAACCGGGAGCCTGGAAACCTGGGAACGGGGCTGGTTGTGCAGCTTGACCTCAGAGCTGTGGAGGTTCAGCCAACAGGAGCTTCTGAAACACCAGATGGGACGCGGTGGGGGTCTGCAGGACCTGTCTGTAACACATGGCCAATAGTTTTCCTTATGGGCAGGTACTGGAAAAGCTGGGATTTCCCCTGGAGCAGGGCCGGGGAGGTTTCTGGCCTAATTCTGGGTATTTGTCCCCAAAAAAGCTATTCTGGTTCAGGCCATAGAATCACTGAGTGGTTTGGGTTAGAGGGGACCTTAAAGGTCATCCAGTTTGAACCTGCTGCCATGGGCAGGGAGTTGCTGTATAAGGCAGGGAGCTGCTATATAGGGCAGGGAGCTGCTATGTAGGGCAGGGCATTGCTATGTAGATTTAATTCTCCTGTTCCTTCAAGTGGAGCCGGTTGGTTAATGGGATGTTTTAGCTCAATTCTGAACTGAAAAACCACAAGAAGGAAAATAACCAAACCAAAATCCACCTCAAACCTGGGTGATTTTTAACAAGAGAAGCTGAACTAACTCCTGGTCAGCCTGTATTGTCTGGGTCAAAGCAGCACCAGATTGCCAAACCACCTCTGCAGCACTTCCTTTACGAGCTGTTCCAAAGTGAGACTTGGCAGCACACAAGAATTATTTCCCTTTCTCTGCCTCCAGCGATTTGCCAGACTCTGCCCACCACTGCCATGAGTGCAATGGTCATCTCAAGGTGTCTTCCTTATGGGATGGGGTTGATGTTGCCAGCAGAAGGCTGCCCATGGCGATGGGAGTCTTGGAGGCTCATGCAGCCCTCCAGCGTGGTTTGGGCACCTCATGGGGCCTGTCAGCCTCATTGTACCAACACAAAGCCAGGCATGAGAGCCACCAGCCTCCCAAGCCTACGCCTGACCCTGTGGGCTCAGTACTGATTAACCTGCTGGTCATTAATTGAACTGGAGATAAGAACTGGTTGCTCTGCATTGCTTTGGGTTGACTCAGGCTCTGCAGCCCTGGGTTTGCCAGGGTGAAGGCAGCTTGCAGGAGATGTGTTGTTGGGGTGGGGTTGTTGATTTGGTGTAGCTGGGCTGGTGGTGTTGGGGTGGTGTAGCTGGGTTCATGCTATTGTGTTTCCCTGGCTGGCTGGACAGTGCTTGTCCATCTCCATCCATGCTGTGTCAGCCTGCAGGCGGAGGAGGGAGCACAGCAGCCCTTAGGTGATGAGTTGTGCTGGAGGTGAGCTGGGTTCCATGGGGAAGCTGATGGTGAAACTGGAGACATCTACAGCAGTTGGAACCTGAAGCTTCCTCATTACCACAGGTTCTCCTGCAGCCATTCCTTTGGCTGGCTTTTGCCATCCTGCTCTTAGGGTGTCTCTGAAAGTCTTTAAAGGAGGTGGATGAGGGTGTTGCCAGTGTGGCCTTGATGGGTCAGGATTTCCCTTGCTCTTAACCCTTTGCTTTTGAAAGAAAAAGGCTGAAATCAAGGGGTGCCCAGGCAGCATGTGGCAAAGGCTTCCTTTGCAAAGCAGCTTAGAGGGGGATGGATATCCAAGGAAGGCACCAGGGGCCATGAAAGAGCTTGACCACACGGCTTAGTGGCTCAATGATACCAAGCTGTGTGGTGCAGTTGGCACAATGGAGAGAAGGGACGGGATCCAGAGGGACCTGGATCAGGCTGGAGACGTGGGAGACCTTGGAGCAGCTCCAGTGCCTAAAGGGACTACGATAAACCTGGAGAGGGCCTTTGGGCAAGGGATGGAGGGACAGGACAAGGGGAATGGCTTGAACCTGCCAGAGGGGAGATTGGGA